GTGTAGTATTTTTTGTTGTCAGAAGAGGGTCACAGTGTGATGAAGGTTAATAACTGTTGCTCTAAGCACTAGCCCAGGAGTGGGCAAGGAGCCTCAAGCTGGTGGATCTGGCCCGCCCCCAGGCCAATCAGGGCCTGGGGGCAGAGAGTGTGTGAGAGCTCCTTCCATCCTGCAAGGGGCAGGGAGCGAGAGACTTCACATGCTTCTCCCGCCCCCAAGCCCTGATTGACCTGGGGGTTGGGGGAGCTCTTGAAGTCTCCTCCTGCCCTGAAAGGTGAGGTTCCTAGAGGGATCCCTCTAGGCGCACCCCACCTTTCAGGGCAGGAGGAGCTGTTCAGAACAGCTGGCAGTTCTCTCTAGGCAGGGGTGGGGCAAAGACTTCACATGCTTCCCCACCCCTAAGCTAATTGGGGTCTGTTTCCGGGGCCTGCCCCTTCTGCCAGAGGCCTGGGGCCACTTCAAAAATTAGTGAAGTGCCCCCCGTCTAAAATTATTGCCCACCCCTGCACTAGACCGTCCTGTCAAACTGTTGCAGAGATAGAAAAGTTAACATTAACTTATGACAGAAACTCAACTAAACTACTCAATTTCTATGGGATTTGGGCTTCTTATTCCCTTAAAAACAAGAAAGAGAGGCAGGTAGCCAGCCAGTCACTGGGTTCTCTGTTCTTCTGGGGGAAAGCTGCTAACCCCTTTCAATTGGAATGCTGGCAAACACAGTAGTTGGGGTTCAGTGACTGAAGGAAAGAGGGATGTAGAAACTGAACATTAGAAGAGAAGCAAGAAAGATGGAAACATCCTCATCATAGGGAGATGGGTCAGAGGGAATGGAGCTTATGAGGGAGTTAGTTTAGGGGCTGGATTAGGGTCAGATGGAGGGGGTGGGGAATACATTTTTTTTAGGAGCTGGATTAGGGTTCAACAGGAGTAACAGGGAGCAAAATGAAGAATGGGATTAGAAGAATATTATTGTTTTAATAGCTCAGTTAATAGGTGCCCTTTTCCCCTTGGAATCACAGAAGCCACTACCTACTAGCAAGAGAGCTAGTAACAACCAGGACATCTTTGTGGCTAAATTCAGGCTGGATTTTTCCATTCCCCAAGCTTTATCACATGGAGTGGAAGGGGAGAAGAGCACAGGGCTATGTAGTCAAACATGTTTCCACCCCTCAGTAAGGGGTTAAAGAGTTTCTCTGGGCACAATCACCTCAACCTGGTATACCTGTTAGGCCTGTCAGATCTGGAGAGGGATGTCTTCTTAGACCTGGGGCAAGATGGCACTTATAGGAAATCAGAGCCAGGGCTTCCTAGCCCCACAGAATAGGGGCTGGTTACTTATTCCGGAGCTGCCAAAAAGTGTCTGCCACTTGGATCCTCTACTGATATTAAGAGACCTTTTTCCCTTTATTTTCCTTTTTGTTTGGAAGCCAGGGTGCCCAACCTGGGTCCTTTTGAATATAAGGTAGTGAGGGGACCAGACCCCCTTCACAGATGCAACTGATCTCTTCCCTTGTATGGAACTGCTGGGGGAGTACAGACTGCTTTGTGTGTTGCAGCATTATTTGGGTGTATATATAATATATATGTACTGACTGCTTAAAGTATAGTAAAAGGTTTCTTCCCTCTCCCCCAAGACTTTGGTCAGAGAATCACACTCTATACCTTAAACTAGCTCTACAGGCACACCTGAGACCAAAGAAAGGTGTCAGTGATAACAGTCACTCACCGTCATCCCCAGGGATGCCCTAAGGGTACAGCATAGGCCAATATCTTTATTCACTATCATTTCTAAATGCTTCATTTGAACCACGTGTTAAGGAGAGAGAGAATAGCGTAATATGAATTAAAAGGCAAGGGAAACAAATAGGGACAGTTTATGGGCATGTGTTCACTATGGGCTGGATCAGCAGGCAGCGTTTGATACAGCAGAGATCAATTTATCATGTCTAGTATAGATGTGATAAATCGACCACTGAGAGCTCTCTCATTGACTCCAGTACTCCACCAAAACGAGAAGAGCAAGGGGAATCGATGGGAGGGCGTCAGCTATTGACTTACCGCTGTGAAGATAGAGCAGACCTAGTATGTCGACTTCAGCTACATTAGTCAGGCAGCTCAAGTTGTGTAACTGAGGTCAATGACCCACGATAGTACAGACAAAGCAGTAACACGCTAACACTTTAATAGTGGGGGCTAGGTCTACACTATAGGGGTATTTTTCCACAATTTGAATAGCTTTTTCTGATCACTTTTCTAGAAGAGGCTTTTCTGCCATTTGGCCCAGTCTAGATAGGGACAAATGGTGAAAAAGCCTCCTCTTTTGGCAGAGCCCTTATCCCTCATAGAACGAGGAATACAGGGCTTCTGAAGGACCGTGTTTGCTCTTCTGCAAAAAAAAAGCAGAAGAGCAAACGCGTTCCCTGGATGCAGTGGAGTTATCCCGAAAAAACTCTGCCATCTAGCCATACCCTAAAACAAGAACTGCAGAAAAGTCCATGGCTATCATGACCACATATGCAGTAAAAGATATGGAATACATGACTATGCTGTTTTAGCTGCATGAATTACAAGTACTGAAACCACAACCCAGTTACGCAGATCACCCTGAACAACTGCCAATAAAAACCATCCATTCTGCACTCAAAACCACTGTAATTTGGAAAGGGGAAGGGGGAGAATGAAATATTTATCCGGGAAGTACTTTCAAAAAGAGAGAGTGACTGTTTGGAGGGTTTGGAATGTGAAAAAAGTTCCAGGGGACAAATCAGCAGTCAGAGTGCCTATGAGGTTTTTGATAAATGCAGTTTATCAGGAGATAGCAGTAGTCACTTAAACCAGGAGTTGACAATCTATGGCTTGTGAGCCAAATCTGGCTCCGTAGGGCACCAAATATGGCTCTTTTGGCCATATTTGGCAACCCTGTGTGCCAGAGCTGGAGCTAGGCTACAATGTAGCTGTCCCTACTTTGTGTGCCAGAGATGGAGCTGGGCTGCAGTATAGCAGCTCCTGGGGCCAGGGCCGCAGTGCAGCCTCAGGAGCAGCTGCACCATGGCCCCAGCTCCAGCCCTGGTGGCTGCCATGTGGCCCGGCAGAGCCAGGTAGCTGACTGCTGCCTCATGTGCCAGGGCTGCAGCTCCCGGCCAGGGTGGGCCACAGGGTGGCTTCCTGGCTGTTTCCGGAGATGGCTGTGTGGCAGGCAGCTTGCTCCGTGTGCTGGAGCTGGGGCTAGGGCTGCAGTGCAGTTGCTCCCACGATAGCCAGGACAACAAGGCCCCAATTGGGGCCCAGCTGCCATCTGGACACAGCATCCTGTTACTGGCCCCAATCCAAGGGCAGGCTCCATGGTCCGGTCCCCATTTGGCTGCAGGAAGGGCTGGTGATGGCCCTCCCTCCTGCTGTGGCATTGGTAGGAAAGGAGGCCACAATCTATCTGAGATGATCCTGGCTCGGCCCCTCATCCAGTGACTGCTGCCTCAGTGCAGCAGTCCAGCCCGTGCCAGGCAAGATAATTTGGCCCTAGGGCCTCTCCACATATTCTACTCCCTCCCCTCCCAGTGCCCTGCCCTGTCTCTTGCACCTCCCCCACATCCCAAACCAGTGTCCTGAGCCCCTCATTCATCCAACCTGACTCTTGCACCCCCCACTTCCCAGTCCCCTGCCACAAGATTATCAGAAGATAGCCCGAATGCGTGAATGAAATTGAATTTAACCACTTATAATGTAAACTTCAAAGAAATGTGCAAAAAGATGCAGCAGAAGTCCCATGAAATAAAGTCTGACTACAATATTTCATTTGTGCTATTATAGTCATCATGTCAATTATCAGTAATATTGCATTGTATATTTTCAGTCATTCAAATGGGCAGGGCTCGCCAGCCATGCTGTCTGGCGTTCTGCGCATGCGCAGATCACCCGAACCCGGCTCTTCCGGGATGTAATCTACTCTCCACAGGCGAGTAGATTACATAGATTGTCGAGCCCTGCAAATGGGCATTCTTATATGGCTCTTTGTTGACCACTTGTTTCGAATTTTAATGTACTTTGGCTTCTTGGTTTGAACAGGTTGTGGACCCCTGCATTAAACAGGAAACTGAGATAAACTGCATTCTATGAATTTTGACCATTTCTCTTGCATGCTGACAATTTAAAACTCTGAGTCATCATTCAGATAAAATAAAAACCTACTATAAAATTGTCTCCCCCTCCGGTGGATTACGGATTACATTTTACTTCCAGTCCACGGACCAGAATTAGTCAATTTTAGACCAGTGAGAGATTTGAAAGTTTTGATACCTTGTGAACAACATGGATTTATAGATTCTTGCTGCATGCCATGGGACAAAGAGATTTCATAGCTCTCCAAGAATATGCATCATCTGTTTATAGCCTTTGCTAGTCACAGATAATCTATATTAAAATCATGACACCCCAATACCAGATAGAAACACTGTTTCTGAGGCCTTCAATGGTCATTTTAACCACTCTAATCTGTAATGGGGAGAGACTGAAAAATGGTAATTAAAATATACAAAGACATTTATCAGATAATTTTTCTGTAACAAATGTGACACAGAATACACTATAATCTCTCTCTATATATAAAAGATTTTTTCCCTGCCAGATGACAGGATGATGTCATCTGGAGGTTGGGTGCAGTTGGTACTGGGAGAGGCAAGCCACGAGCCCCACCCCCTCTACTGAAGCCCCATCCCTACATGGAGTGGAGGAGGCGGGGCGCCCCCACAAGAAGGGGGAAGGATGGGAGGGCTGAGCGCACACTCCAGCCTCCCTGGCTTCAGAGCACAGGGGAAGGATGAGGCTGCGTGGCTGCAGCCTCCCCGGCTCCCGGAGCACCAGCACAGGAGGTAGCCGCGTGGCTCCAGCTTCCTTAGCCTCTGAAGTTCCCGGGGCATTCTGGGGATGGAGTGTGGGCGGGGCCATGCCTGGTGGTTTGGGAAAGCAAAGCCTTCCCCTGCCTAGGCTACCGGATGCCCATGACTCCCTGGCTCTCTCAGTGAAGTGAAAGTGGCAAGAGATGGGAGGCTGGCGCACGTTGCAGCCAGAGAGAGGGGGGTTGGTGCACATAGCAAGCAAGGGATGCAGCCCCCTAGTATAAAGGTATAAAAGTTACACAAGCATTTGTTAAGGATGACAGCACTTATAGCTTTGCCAGTTGAGAGTAATGTAACTATCGCAACATTTTGCTAATGTCACTTTTATATCACAACATCCCATGTTCCATTTCTTTCATCTTTTGCCCATTGTACCTAGAATTTAATCCTACAGACATCTCATGCAAGTTGTTTCTCTGACTTGTTTTATTAAAGTCTCATAAATAAGGGTTGCATGATTAGGCCCATATAATGTGCACTTGGAATGTTTAATATGTCCGGACTTCCATTACAATCCATTTTCACCTGCTCCTAGCTTTAAAATCTCTTTTCAGCTGAGGTTTTCCATGAATTTTCTAAACAGAAAAGTGGATTTGATTTTATTTATTTAGAGTAAAATATATTCACTTAGGATATTTTATTATTAGGGATATGGTAAAGAATCATAGAGCTGAAAGAGACCTCAGCGTGTCATCAAGTCTAGCCCCCATAAGAATTGTCTTTCCTGTGTACAAAAGATAAAACTTAAGGACCCAAATCCTGCTGATGGATACACACAGGCAATCGTCATAAGGAGCCTAATTGATTTCATTGGAACTTCACATTAGGGCTCCGCCAGGTTGATGATATTGCAGAATGAAAGCCTAAAATTTTTCCCCATATATTAGCCATAAAAATTGAATTTTACATATTTAGTCCCCAAACACACAGTAAGATCTACTATGACAGACCCCATATAGCCATGCAGAAACTCACTCAAATTAATACAGGAATCCATGAAAGAGGATAAGAATGCAGGATCAGGACCCATATATTTCCTGGTCGCTATTCATCATTGAGAACTAGTTTCCTGACAAACATGCAGAAAGAAGCAAACATGAATTATTTTTAAAAGGGGCTTAGCAGCAGATGTGCAATACAAAATGTCCCTTGATGTCAGAGGTAACATGCTTTCAATGAATTGCAAAGTACCATATATATACATAATATCAACAGGAGTATAGGTATTTTGCAGCTATTTCATTGTGGAGATTCAGTTATTTAAGATTTTGACCTGGCAAGCATGGAACTGCACAAATCAAGAGAACGATGAGCCTTTCCATCTCTCCTCCTTTCCTATCAACAAAAAGTCTCAAGGGAAACAGATAAAACTATAACATTCAATTTATGTCTCTTAACATTTAAGTCAGGAAATGTATCAGTGATGTTTCTCTCAGTAATCTTAACTCATAACTGCAACTTGTCTATGCTAGGTGAAAAAACTATTGGTGAAATCTAATGAAAACAGTCTAAAAACATTCTACACTGGAGATACTGACAAAATAATTAAAACTAGTGCCATTAGTTCTGCCACGCTTGTGGAAGCTGCAGCATAATCTAGGCTCCAGAAACCAGATCAGTTTTATTAGAGTTTTAGTTAAATGTACTAACATGTATGTTACCAAAACAGTATCAAAAATGAGTCCTAAGGGTTTCCCAGTTCATCTGGGAATTTTGTTGTACTTTTCCAATTAAAAAAAAAAGCAATATTGTTTTCTGAAATTATTTAAAAAAGTTGAATCTGGCCTATACTAGTACTGAAACTGTTTTTAACATGAGTGCAGGTGCACCCATGTTAACACCTACAATGTTTACTAATGCACAAAAGCCTGCTGAGACCCAGGCAAATACAAGTCTAGAGCACTCTTTCTTAAAATGCCTTTTATATGATCTCTGCCTAGTCTACATTAGCACTTACATCACTTTCAATATTTGTTCACAAGCCCCATTGCTCAAAACAATTTCTGCCCTGGTTTCACTTCCTAAGGTGGAGCCATTGGACTTGCCCTGTGTTTCTCAACTTTTTTTTTTATAACGTATCCCTTTTTTTCAAAAAATATTATAAGTATCTCCAGTACCTACAGTTTTCAGACACACAAAATTTTTTTTCTACCATTGCAACACATTTGTTTAAACAACTTAATTGTAGCTGGGTGATGACATTTTTGGGTATAAAAAGTACAAAAATAATAAAGCGCTGTAAAACAAACAAAAATTCAGTTTTCTCCACATTTTAGTTGTGTTGATGTACCCCCTCCCCACCCCGAACTTCTTGAGTGCCCCTGAGGGTACTGCTACCACTGGTTGAGAAACACTGAACTAGCCAGCCTTGCTGTTTAATGTCACCTTGATATGCAATTCACCAAATCTCTCCGTTCATTTATCCCCACCGAGCTTCATGGGAAATCAGGCCTAGACAAGGGCGAAAAGGGTTTTTTGAAGGCCACGTTAGCTAGCACCTCCCCTAACAACTCTAGCTCCAGGCAGGGCGTCCGGTTCTTCCCCACGTGCTTGCTGGTGGCGTTGAAACCCAGTCCCACCGCCCAGGCCTGTTCAATCCCAAGCTGCCCAGGCCTTTCACTCGCCCGGATGCAGACAAAGCCAAGGCGGGCTGGGCCCTTACGGCTGAGCTGAAGTTCCCCAGACATGTGGCCGGCTGGGAGCTGTGACCTGACCCGGCCGGCAGGCGGGAGCGATGCGTGGCAGTGCCGGGCGGGGGGACACTTGCGGAGGGCAGGGAGCGAGGCCGGGGCAGCGAGCCCGGGCCTGGGCCTTGCAGGGGCGGGCACGAGCCCCGG